ACCACAGACTGTCCAGGAGTTGGCGGATGCTTTAGTCCAGGTCTAGTAGGAGATCCCTCAGGAGACCATCCGCCACCTCATCAGGAGCATGCCCAGGTGTTGTAGGGAGGTCATACAGGCACGTGGAGGCCACACACACTACTGAGCCTCATTTGGACTTGTTTTAAGGACATTACATCAAAGTTGGATCAGCCTGTAGTGTGTTTTTCCACTTCAATTTTGAGTGTGACTCCAAATCCAGACCTCCATGGGTTAATAAATTTAATTTTCATTGATAATTTTTGTGTGATTTTGTTGTCGGCACATTCAACTATGTAAAGAACAAAGTATTTAATAAGACTATTTCATCCATTCAGATCTAGGATGTGTTGCTTAAGTGTTCCCTTTATTTTTTTTGAGCAGTGTATAAGACAAACTGCACCTAAATAGTGACAGATCTATAATTTAATTTTTGTATGCTCCTTTATGTGTCATGGAAATTCAACAAAAAATATAAATAAGAAATAGGTTTTCATTTTTCCTATTCCTGCAAAGGACAATTTTTTAAAGAATGTTTGATTGCGCAAAAGAAAGTAGAAACTGACAGTTTGCAAACCTTGTGAATAATCCCGAGGAGAGGTTTCGATTAATTCTGGTGGGTGGATGTAATTATATCAAATTACCTCTTAAAATATCCACCACAAGTTAGCGCATGTAACCGAAACCGCCTTCATTTCCAAATCTCCTCATGGTTGTGCGTGTTCCAACATGCCCAGCAGATGAAAAGGCTTTTATTTTCTAAATATATCCAATTCTATAATCATTTTCTCATTCTGACCTCATTTAAAAACGCCATAAAATGAACATGGACATTGACAAGAGAAAAAAAGGTCCTTTGGAAGGAAAGCAATGCTCCGATGAATCAAGACTAAACAGATATCCCTTTCCCACCAGACTTAGCCGCTACATGCAGTTTTTTTAGACACAACAAAACCTGCTTAAAATATGTGATAGACGCCGTTCCTATTGCCATTTTTTTGTAGTCTAATCTTTTCATTCCTGCATAATTTGCCTAAAACGCCTATCAACCGCGTACCCAAAGTAAACTGACAGCTCTTATTGAACCATTGGGAGTACATGTGTGGTTTTAGTCTTTATTGAACGGCAACACTCTGAAGTTTCTTCACAAACAGTCAAAATCACCGTAAGTGCTACTAGCATTGAGCTAATGCGTTTTCAGCACGGTGAAAGAGAAGCATTTTACTTCCGCCTAGATTTGTTTTGGCCAGCAGATGGCAGCAGCTATCTAAGGCTGGGACTTACAGGCTTGAAAAGACTGATTCGACAGCTAACAGTCATGACGCCTAGTACAAGTTAAAATTTGATAACAATACGACAGAAAATTAATATTTTAGACAGAAAATTAATATTTTACACGTGGTTTACTAAGAGTGCGGCCGTGGTTTACTAAGAGTGCGGCCGCGTAAAGACGCATTTGGAGACTTGCCAAATGCGTCACCACATCAAAATGCATATACTACGCTTTTGAAATTCGAACTATAGTTTATTTATGTCGATGTATAGTTAACTATATTATATTTAACCATTATCGACTTTCACAGATTCTCAAAAATTTTCAGAAACCACACTTTAGTCTTCACACTCTGTCCCAGGAACTTGACTCATGGTTTCCAGTTCAGGTTAGAAAACTTTCCCAGCATTCAATCTGATAAATCTGCATATCCCTGGCTTCGTAATTTCATTGGCTATGTGGAGCCTGAGTTTGAACAGGATCTGTTGCGATTGGCTCGAGCTATACCCAAAGAAGTGAGGCGGGCATTGTCTTTCAAAGCGGACTCTCGTTGGCTGTTCCAGACTGTGGCCGGGCTATAGAAGCTCCTATTGGGTCAAATGAGGTGTCAATCTAACCGGCGGAATGCAGGCTCCATTTTGCGATGAAAATCTCCGCTCTGTTGACACCGAACGTGAAGTTATGCCCGAAATATGATCGCGAGTTGTCATATCTGCTGGCTAATTTGAAATGATGCAACAGCCCCCCGTGGGTCTTTATGGACGTACTAATGTGTTTTGGACTAAATCTTTTACTGGATTCGATCGAGTGGACCCTTAGCCACCTAGCAAGACCGTTTTTGCTGGACTAGCATGCACGAGGGGCACGTTATGGATCATAATCGGTGAGTCACGGCGATATTTTATCGGCTATTTTTGGAGTGCTTGTTTGACAGAGACGTTAACTGTACCTGCTGTTGTTATTGTGTCTTGAAATGGTTTGCAGAAATCGAATTACAAGAACCGTAGCTTTCTAATGAGATATCACATTAATACTCATCGTTACAGGGCAGTTGTGTGCATAACACAAATATGCAGTTATCACTCTGCGGGCCGTCAGAGTGAGAGGAGGCTAAAACAGGGTTAGTAAACAGTAAAAAAAAACAACTCCTAGACACTAAACACCCCTAAAGAGGGCAGTAGGGTCACAGATGACACATGTTGAGTAGCCTACTGTACGTGGACGCGACTCATCACAGCCCCGCTGAACCTTCTCAGGAGAGTGGCAGCAAGGCGGACAGGGATAGAAACTCTTAACCGACTGCCGTCTTCTTTTGGCGAGTGTGCTGTCTGTTTAGCCATCCCTGGCACATTCAATTCAATGTCATCGCTTTGGGTTATAAACTTTTGCGTGTGCTTCTGTGATTTTTCAGGAGAATGCCAATAAGGAGAAATTAATTTCGAAAAAGAATTTGACGGGATGCTCTTCTTTGTCATTTTTGCTGAGAGGAAAAAAAACAAAACAAAAAAACTTTTTATTGGGCAGTTAAACTGCTTGCTGAGGCTTGAAGCAGACGTCACTTAGTTCGCTGCTGTCTGACTATCTAAAAGACTGTGCGCGTGTGTGTTACGTGTGTGTACGTTAAGCTGCTCAGAGCTCGGGTCAAGAGGTCATTATTCCCTCTCAAATATCTGTTTTGTGTTGCTGCATTACAGTATTATAACAACTCTATTTACTACAAAGTGATATATCAAATTGTGGTCATTTTGCAACGGTTATTTATTAGTTGTATTATATTTTCAGTTTCAAATATATCCAGGTCTTAAAATGTTGCAGGTAGCCATACATGTATAACGTATAACTCCCCGTGCAGTAGTATAAATCCTTCAACAGGAGGGTGTTCTCATTTCTGAGAAATGTGGGTTTCTGGCCAGTTGACAGAATTAGGCTCATTTGGATCCGATGTCTTTTACTGTGTCGACACAACTTTGTTATATTTTATTTTTTCTCTCTTTTTTGTCTTGCAAGTTTTTGGTTTTTATAAGAAATCTTAGAAAATGTGAGAGGAGTGTGCACCCATCTGTCTGTGTTCTCTGTCCTCGTGGTATTTGACAGAAGTATAACCTCCACATCCTCTCGCAAATTAACCACATGGTTTTTGGTTGTTGAAAGTGTTCAGCAAAAAAAGTTCAACATTTTTCCCACAGAAAGCTTCAGAGATAGCCCAAAGTTATTTGTTTTTCTTCTACAGGCAGAACCTTTAGATATGACTATTTGTAGAGAGGGAAACAGAAAATGTGAAAATGTGACTGACTTTTCAAGGGCACAGTCAATTCAAAGATACTGTAGAAAGATCGCCCAGACTCCGATGGTCAACAGCTGTGAGCACAACGTACTCTCTATGGTTTCACAATGTTTGATAATCTGCGTGATTAACAATGTGGGAAACAATGCCAAGATGACAAAGTAACACTTGACACGAAGGATGAAGATGGTCAAGTGAACCTATAATTCTCAATAACCCTACAGAACAGAGCATGCTCCTGTTTCACTGATGTAAATGGAAATTGTGAAAAACTGTGTTATTTATGTTTTATGTATCAAAGGCTCAAAATGGTTTTCCCCCCCAAAAAACAAATCCCGGAGAAAATGACAAACTCTAAACAGGAACAGTGACAATTGATGGTTACTTCAAAAAGTTTCACTACTCTAATGTCCGCCTCTGATCACAGACTTCACACCATGGCACTTCCCACAAAGAACTACAAAGGAAGCTACACAAGAACTCCGTTATCCATAATGCCACAATCTGAAGGCAGTTTTACAGCTAGAGTGACACGTTCCCTAACTAATCTAAAGCAACACACTGTAAACATGTTTTTCAAGACCAACAATAGAAAGCGGTTTGTTACCCTTGATATCTTTGAGATACCGTACATCTTAAATACGGTCTGTAAAACTAAACAAATATCTGCTTTTAGCTGCCGATACAAATCAAGTGATCACATGTGCAAACCAGGCAGCGGTAGATGTTCCCATTAATTCAACTGTGAAAAGTTGCATTGGTGGTATAAGAAGAATATCATGCTCACTCACTAGGGTTGTGCGATTGGACAAACATAACAACTATCGGCGATTGGCTGAGTACATCGCCGGGTGTTGCCAGGTGGAACACAAACACACCTGTGCAAATATATTGGCAATCACTCGTTGCTGGTGGCCAGTTGGAAAATTTTACACTAAAATGCAAACTATAGTGAGAGAGGCTGAAGTCAGAGTTTAATACGGTTTAAAGCTGGGGTGGCCAAACTTCGGTCAGCTGCCCGATTTTAAATGGCCCGCTTTGAATTTTAAAAAATGAACTAGAATATGGCTTGAGCATATTTCTAATAAATGTCACTGTATGTACGTTGCACATCCTAGTTTAAACACTAAATGTCAACTAAAGTTAGTGAAATTATTTGGCACAGAAACCAATATATTTCTGTGTCTTCCGTTTGTTGCATCTTAATATTTACATCGTAACGTTTTAAGGGCGCCCTTTGGCCAGAAACCAATTTCTGCCTGTTTTAACTTTACAGATTTACAAATGACATTGTGTTTTAAGTGGGCACTAAGGCCATGCACTGTATTACAGCTCAAACATATTGATAATTGATTTTTCTGTATACGGCCGACATTCAAAAAAAGTTTTGTTATCCGTGGTTTAAAGATTATTACAACAGCATTCTTCATTTTCAGATGGCCACATTTTATTTGGAAAAACAATCTTGATAAAAGTCTATTTGGCATATTTACAAACATTTCATCTCTACAACACAAGAAACAGAAACATTAAATATCAGTATCAACAGCATTTTTTTCTCAATGTAAAGACATACATTATGTTGTGACAACAACATATTCCTGGAGTGTGTGGAGGTGAGCACTATGAGATTCAACACGTTAAGGATCAACATAATACAAAGCAGTAGTAAAATCATTTCCATAAACCCGGAATAAATTAGCCTGGTTTTACATTGGTGTATGAAAGAGCAGACAAGGTGATTGATGGAGTTGTATTTGCAGCTTTAAAAAAAAAAAATATGACATATTCCATTACTTACATTTATAGCTGCTTTAGAGTTCACATAGCATATACTGCCTGTAGGTTTGAGGCGTTTTCTTTCTTCGCACATTCCTCTGATGTTAAAGGCCTTTTAGAAATTGTGTCAAAAATCACATTTTCACCTTTGTGTTTACTGCACTGGGAATATTCTGACTGTAAAGACAGAGAGCAGTTCAAGATGTTGGAAGAGGAGGCAGTGATGTCTGCATGTGTTTGGAAAACAGGGGGCAACGGTGGGATTTCCTCTCTCTGCTGGCTGGATGGTGACTCCAATGTGAATTCAGTCTCACCACCGCCTGCTCTCGGTAGTCTGCAAGGAAGGGTAAACACACAGAGGATTTTACAGAGAGAAAACCTAGCACACCTCATTTACATTTTTTCAGCAGGAAGGTATTTTTGGACTGTTTCTCCAAAACAGTCCAAGCAGCTGAAAGGTTGTGACTCCTTGTTTTCCTTAACTATTCTTTTTACAGTTTCGGTCACCCACACACTCAAACAATTGTTCTGCATAGTGTCCTGAATCCAAACACCTGTTTTGTATTTTTTATTTTGGGCATGTGTGACGCACACAAAATGTATGGTCACATTTTTGTTATTAGATTCATATTTGAACGAATTTCTGTGATTTGCCTATCATAATTAAACTTCCTTTAGAAGTATATTTTTATCTATGCCCAGTAGGTGGCAGTGGAGCGCTGTCGATCTGCCTCGCGACCAGAGATTTGTCGGTGCGCGTTCAGTGTCTTCTCGTAGCTTGAGAGGACACTGAAGCGAGAAGCCACAGCGTTTGCCTGTTTCATTTATTTCCTGTTTTTCTCAGGTTAGTAACATGAAAAGTGCACAAAAGACACATGAATTCAGGACCAATGTGTACATAACATTTGTATGGAGTATTTTGTGTTTTTTATGTAGTTGTTTGAGCGCTACTGACTGTTAAGACTGACTGTTGAGTGCTAGCTAAGCTAATAGTAGCCCTGTGTTACATCCCTTGTTTTTATCTGGCTCCTACACAATGAACTTTTTCTTTATGATGAAATGAATCGACTTTATGTTCCGTTAGGTCGATCCATACTAAATATGTTAATTAATGTGACTGTAATATGTATATAAGTGTTGTGAAAGTTTGTTAGCTGTTCGCTGTACTGGTGACGCACCGCCGCCATTTGGAAGAGTGTCTGTCTCACGTACGCCACAGTGGCTGTGGGCATATTGCCAAAGTGCAGTTAGGAGGGGTTTTAGCCCAAGAGACAACAGATATGTTGATCAAACATGTAATAATAGTAGTGTAACCTTTGTTATTTTGTTTATTACAACTTAATGTATTTTTCCTGTGTTTTGAAATGGAGAAACATATACAGAAGACTGTTTTCACTTAAAGAAGTGTAAAAATAAAGATAGCTTGAGAGGACACTGAAGCGAGAAGCCACAGCGTTTGCCTGTTTCATTTATTTCCTGTTTTTCTCAGGCACAAAATCTGTGATCAGGCCCATTCATGCTGTAACACATGGCAACTTAATGACAGGCTGAAATTTACATAGATGACTCTGACAGTCCATTTATTGTGTGGTTGCTTGGTCACTATATTTGTTGTCATTCTAACTTTCACTGCTATTTTGGGGATAGATTTACTGTACTGTGTGGAGATTTAAAGCTTGCTTACCTCAACAATCACATTTACAATTCATTATAAAAGTATATAGGGCAACACACACCAGTGGCATTAAAGCACCGACACCTGAATTGTTTTCTTTGTAAAAACACACACAGGAAATGGCCAAATTGTATTGTATTGTAATAAAGTAATGTCATCAATAGTGACATTAAAGTGCCATAAAATACATTGGGTGCTATGATGAGCAGTAGTCTGACCTCTGCACTCTGCCGCTGCATCTTGTGCGCTGAGCAGGACGCCGGGTCTTTCTCGCCCGACCCTTCTCGTTCCGACTCGCGCTCCCGCTTTCCTGTGATACTTCCTCTGCTGTGCAGGAGGAGTCCTGAACGTCCGAATAGACAAGAAGAAAAACGTTAGCATTATCAGAAACACTCTACTGGGTGGATGCGCGAGTAAAATGTGAGGTCTCGTTGGGGGAATCTTCTATGATTTCCCTCCACTGAGAAGAACCCGATGTTGGTGATGGGGAGGAATAGAGTCGCCCTTCTGTGGTAGCATTCACACACAGTAGATGAGGTGGGCTACGTATCATTTCTATCAAATACAGGTCTTGTGCATCTAGTAGCACAAGAGATAGTGGCACCAGATACTTTCGGTTTCCTACCTGGGTGTTGAGGCACAGCAAACTCGTGGTAGACTTGGCTGCTGGTGATGGTCTGGGTGGCTTCTGGCACTGAGTGGTATCCTGCAACAGACACAGCAAACTTTAAACTTGGTGGTTTTGAGATGGTGCAAAAGTTGAGTATCATATACTGATACAATAACAATTTCACCATAGCATGTATATGGTTTATTTTAAAGCAGATGTCATAAATGTGCCAGTGTTAGCCAAAAGGCTATTTTCAATGCTTTCAATGTTGGCCATGGCAGTAAATGAAAATAATTGACATTAACCCTTGCATCGCTCTTGGCCAGTAGAAAGCAAGCATTAGTTATACACCTTTTACTCTGTACTGTTACAGGCCCGCTACCTTTTCCGTAGAAATCAGTTCACAGACTGTTATAAGCATCCGAGAAAGTCGGGGAAGTTCTCAGTTTTCACAAGTAAATTGTAAAATATAGCAACTTTAGGTTTGGAACATTTAATCCCATTTTTAAAATGTGCTTTTAGAGCTGAGCCACTGTAAATGCCAAAGTAATTTTAATCTAAAGTGTTCATTCTCTGGGGAAGATAAATCCCGATCTCAATCTGTCCCTTATACATTCTAAAATGTATTGTTAAAATTGTGGTGATATGCATAAAAGCCAGACTGAATGTAAAAAGCTAGAAATGCAGACAGAAAACACTCATGTCAGGGGATGCCCTACCGTGCTGTTGCGAGTGCGGTTGTAGTCGTCTGCTGCTAGGCTCCATGGGTTCTTCATTGTGAAAATTGAGTAGGATGTTCCTGTTGTATTTACCCGTTGCAATGGAGCTCCCCAACACTCCAGGCACTGGAAAAAGAATAACACAGATGGAAACATGTGACCGATTGCCATAAGTGGATTTGCCACACTGTTTCGATGAAGGCACCAACCATAATGGCCAGAAAATGTGTGACACATCTTTATTTTTTTGAAATTGACTTACAATGAGAGTTGTTGTTGTTGTTCCCTGGCTGTTGCTCTCCAAGAGAGTAAGCCATCATTCCTCCGTTTCCATTCCCATTGGTGGACGGCACTGATGCCAATAGGCCTGAAAGACACAAAACACATTTATTTTTCTATCTCGAGCAAAGACGACATAATTCCTCAGAGTTCCATGGGAACATACAAGACTGTATGTATGCATGTATGTCTAAGTCTGTACATACAAGGAATTTAGCTTGGTGATTGGTGCATGACAATAAACACAGTGCAATAGTATAAAACATAATTATAAATACAAATATGAACATTTACAATAGAATATGATAGACAAACAAACAATATAAGAGTGTCAAAATAAGTCTGTTTTTGGCCATTTAACAAAGACCGATGCCGTATGTTTGACATGTTTGGGAAACCGTTTTTTCCACTGCTTTTCTAGCAAAGCGATGGTCACACACACACACACACACACACACACACACACACACACACACACACTCCTCTGCTGTTGCACATCTTCGCAACTCATGGGAAATAGCCTACAGCTCTTGTTTAAAAACACTGTCATTCTTTAAGTACTGGTATTACTGAAATTCGTTATCAGACTGTTTTTAACAGTGGGTATTGCAATAACTTTCTATTATCGGTATACCGCGTAACACTAGTAATAAGCTTTGAAGCCCCAAGGGACAACTGGCACGGCTCTGCAGTTTTGTTAATTCATTGATCCCTTACCCAGTCCCCTGTATCGGCTGAGTTGCTGGTAGATCTGCTTCATTCTCTCGATGTTAAGTCGGCTCGCCTCTGCGTGGTGCACCATGGGCTTTGGGTAATGGACGCCTATTATGCACTTGGCGGCTGCCTGCACGGACTCCGGAGCGTTCCATGGGTCGTAGATATATTTAGCAGGGAAACCTCGGAGGACGGGTAAGTATCGCCTGGAAGCATAGGGAGACATTAGATTAGCAGGCTTTTGTCAACCTGATGGAGAAGGTTACAGAGTAAATCAGGGGTGATGCAGGGATGCAATAAGTAAATACATTTCGAAAGGTTAAGAAAAAAAGTGTCTAATATCTTACAGTAGCTGCGAAGAAAATCTTTTCTATTTAAAAAAAAAAAAAAAAGGTATCAAATTGAATTGTGAAATATTTAGAATTAAGTGCAAATAGATTTTTCACGATCTCATCAATAATCATGCATATGTATGATAAGATACTAATTAAGGTGTTTTATTACTAACATTACAAGTGAATCGTGTTATGTGATACAAATCAAAAGGTACCCACCTAATGAAGTCCCCGTTGGGGTCAGTGCGTCGGCCGAAGCCCACGGGGCAGTAGCAGTGGAAAAACTGCTGGAAAAAAGAACTGCAGGACAGCCACATCCAGCTGCCTGCGTTCACGCTCCAGTCTGCATCCAGAAGCAACTCCTCAAAGATCTGCCACACAAAAACACCAGATGTTTGTTTCACACTTGATGCAGAGGTTGCTTTAAGTGTCATGGGTTATAGAGAACTCAAACACAAACTTTGATATACGGGAGGTCACAATTTTTCGTCTTTGCTTTATTTGGCATTTAAAAATGAAACGGATGGGCCTAAATGTGCGAAAGCATATTAGGGCTATTGTAGGTAAAAATAAATAAATAAATAAATAAATAAATAAATAAGGAGCCTAGGGAGAAGGGCAATATTCAAAGGGAAAAAAAAAAAAAAAAAAAAAAAAAAAAAAACTACATTTGGGAACATTTCAATTCCCACCTCAACACATCGACAGCGAGCCGATGGCTCACAGCTAACACCGGCAAAAGTGCCTGAGGGGGGAAGCGGAGGGTGGGTGCTACACTCCTGCAGTTACGCTGTCGTAGGGGACGAGCAGTGCAGAGCAGCGGCTGTGAGCTAACCAGTGTGGTACACCAACATGCACTAGCACTAACAGCACTCACGGCTATGTAAACAAGCTCGGCTTAACAAAACACAGAGGGAGAGCTGCTTGTGTTTGTTTGGAAATAGGAATTTTCAATGAAATTGAATGGGCCAAAAGTGGGTGACATCAGTCATTGTTGCAGTTTAGGTCTAGTCTCATATCCTCTGTTGTTCCTCCCCTGTACTGAACATTCCTGCATTCTCACCTTCATCCCTTCCTCCCAACTGATCCACAGGTCCCCCCTGGTGAGGAAGCAAGCCACCGCATGCCTGGCCAGGTGATGGATCCAGCCCTCCTGCCTCAGCTGAGTCATGATGGCGTCTATCCAGGGAAAACCTGTCTTAGCCTCGGCCCACTTGGCAAGTGCTTCAGGATTCTTGTCCCAGGGTATGCGGACGCAGATAGGGTTCCCTTCCATCTTGTCAAAGCGTGGGTTGTTGGTGGCTGTGGTGTAGAAGAACTCCCGCCACAGCAACTGGCCATACAGGGAGAGTGGAGGGGAGCTGTTCTTTTTCACCTGGGTTAAAATAAACACAGCAAAAATAGAGAATATTAGGCAAAATAGACACTGTGAGAAGTACAGCACGTTAGGGCGGTAAAATAATCTAATAATTCAAGTACAAATTTGGTTAACAAGCAACAAGAGGCTGCCACTACCCCATGTTCTAAATGGGACTAAAAATAATTCATGTTTTCTTCCAGGTGAGTTTCAATTTCTACATGCACTCAACACAGAGTATATATACATACATACATACATATACATACACATACACACATACAAGTTTTGTAAAATAATGTAATATTAACATACAATCCCCTGGAAGACCTGTGAGTTCCCAATTTCCACAAAGGACTTTCCACACTGCCAGAGGAGCCGATAGAAAACAGCTTTCTCTCAAAGTGAGCTACACTGGAGGGGTTGTAAACTGACCTTGCGGTAGAGCTCAGTGAGCTTGAAGTAGAAAAGGCGACAGGAGAGGCAGCCGAAGCGCAGGTAAGGGCTGAGGCCTGTCGGGCTGGCCAGCAGTGAGTTGGCATTCATTCTGGGACGCTCGAAATTAGCCACCCAGGCCTGGAAAAAGGCAGAGACACAGGGGGGGACAGGAAGGGATGAAATGATGGATGATAGATCCAGGGCACCATTATAAAAAAACAGGGTACCATTTTGAAGAATATGATTAAACATGTCAATTAGGAGTGTTGTGATTATACCAGTATTGATAATAACCGTGATATTAAAAAATTGAAATATTGATATCATGTTAATAATATATATATTATAAGTGTGTTTCAATTGTCACTTAAAACTATCATAAATATGTTCTCTGATTCACTTTCAAGCATGCAGAAGCCTAAAATCAGGAGGTGCAGTACTGACCTTTCTCTCCAGGTGGCGCTCTATCCTGGTCAGAGCCTCAGTCTCTCCTCCCGGCCACACGGCTGTAGGCAGGCCCTCGGTGTCGAAGCCTAAAAACAATCATCTGAATCACCTTCCTGGTTCATTCCTCATTCAAACAGTGTTCCACTTGTTTTCCCCTGAACTTCTATTTTCTTTAATACAAAAATAAAAAAATAAATTCTACTGCACAAATTTAGTTTTTTTTAGATACAGTGAGTACAATCCCACTTCAAATAATCCGAACTATCCCTTTAATGGTGCAACGCTTCTTCTAATCTGTTTATAACTTGTCTTTTACAGTTAGTCAGGCCTGATCATTAGGCAATCCAAAATACATTTCCAAGGAGTAAAAACAAGTCAGAAATGCATCAAACATCTTTACTGCACAAACATACGAGGGACCAAATTATCTGTCAGTCTATCTTCAACACTGCATTGTTGAGGGTTAGTCATATTTCTAATGCAGGGGTTGGTTTGAGGGGTTCTTCTCCTGCTGCCTACACCAGGTCTATACTTGATCAAGTGCAGGTGTGTGTGCGTTTGTTTTCTCACCCAGCTCCTCCAGGGAGGGGACCCCGTACTTGTCTCCGTGGTCCTCAGAGATGGGGGTGACGCAGCGACCCATCACCGTTTCTGACAGTGTCTCCACAGGCATCTCAGGAGGATCCAGGCGACTGATCAGAGTCTGGAAACGCTTGTAGGTGAGAGGAGGCTGTCCGCCATTCAGCTCTATGATCCTGGGGAAGAAAGGAGACAGGGACTGGTCAAATTTCTTAATCTTAAATCTAATTTATTATTCATAACTTTAGCCAAGATGTGCACTCATCTGGCTGGACGACAATGAACTAACTAAAATAATCCAACATAGTGTATGTTTTTAAAACTGTGTCTGCGTTTTGCTTACTTGTCCAGGTCGTAGAGGGTGTGTGATGTCTTGACGATGACCTCCACCCCTGCCTCCATGGCCAGCTTCTTGATGGCAGCATCTCTCTCCTTCCCAAAAGGCTCCGAGTCATACTCAAAGGTCAGGCGAGAGATCTTCCACTCCTGAGACAGAGAGAGATAGCCGACTGTCAGATAAACCAGCCTTTGAAGATGTCAGACTGACAGTCCAAAACCCAATGATGCTATAAAAATAGCAAAAAGCTGAAAATTCTAACTCTTGAGAAGCTGGAAAGAGTTTGATAAAAAGGACTTTGTTCAATTGAGATTATCAAAGCTAGTGCTAATTTTCTGTAGATGCTGACCTTAAAGAGCCGCGGGAACACGTTGGCTGGTTGGCCCCTGATGACAAAAAGGCGAGAGTTGAGCTTCCGAAGGTTGGCGTCCAGATCCTCCAAACACTGGAGGAGAAACCTGAAGAGGGAAGACACATATTCATTACTGATCTACCGATTATATTCTAGAGTCACGAGGCAAAAACATCAAATTATACATCATTATTGGTCCTACCCGTGTTACACTTTCACTTTTCTTCATGCTGCTACACGTTTCTTCTGCAGTTGTTTGACATTTTTTGGCCCAACAAAAGAAAATCAACTTGTTTTGTATGGTAACGGTGTTAAAGATTATTATGTTATTGCAGGTTTGAGTATAGTTATACATTCAGAAAATGTATGTGGTAAAGATAATTACACAATTTGATCTTCCACCACTGTCACAATACTTAAAAGAAAAAATAAATAAATAAATTAAAAAAAAAAAAAAAACACGTAAAGGGTAAAGGCTGATTTGACAATTTAAGACTGGAATATTTTAATCAAGCCAATAATTACTTCTTTCCATCACTATAACACCTCTGCTTCCACAACCTGCACATTCGGCCTCCTAACAGGCATCGCTTCATTACCAGAGGTCAAACTATTGAGTACCACCCATCTAGGGTGTGTTGTGTCTGACCCGCCGTCCCAATCATTAGCAGAATCTGGCAGGATAACTGACAAAGCAGACAGACGACAAGCACAGCAGACAGCCAGGCGACGTTCCGCTCGGTTTTGTTTGCTCCCGTCTGACCCCGTTAGCCTGGTCATTAAACCAGAGGACGGCTCGTTCACAAGCAAAGCTCCGTTTGCTTCCAATCCGCACAGACGGTCAGAGCTGGGCTGCAAGGTTGCACACACTTAAGGCACGTGCCTGCTTACGAGCTAGAAACAGCTATGAAGCCGGCGTAGGAGCGTCCAAAACTGACCATCTGGGTTGGTCTTTTTGTAGACCAGCTCATACTACAGTCCTCCTTTGGGTTTGCTCTGCACCTTTCAAATGGTATTCTAATTTAGGCTTTTTATTTAAAGAAATAAGGTTATGATACTTGTGATATGCACACGGTTGACAAGAGAAACTAAGAGGCTTGAGATTTGCAATCTGTGGTGAATGCAAACTTCGAATAATTATTTTTCGTTGCAACATTCTTAATACCTGTTGATGCTCATTTGGTTCATTTCATGCAGAGGTGGGCATGAGTTACACTGAGATCAGATCACACGAACATCTTTTTGTCTTCACACCACCAGGATTTTTTTAAAATACATGGTTAGAAGTCTAAAATCGCTTAGCGCTGCCAAACAGAACTTTCAACTAGCCAACACATACAACCTTTAAAATGTATTTAATTTATATACAAGTACTGAATAAAAAAAAATCTCCTCAGGCAACTGAAACCCTAAAATTCCCAAAAACATTATTGAAAGAATACTGAAAGGGGATCATGCAAACAGTCACTATGTTTTATCTAAAAAGTCATCCAATTACATGGAAACTATTGAAACAATGAGCAGGTTTTGTATTTCTATGCTTGTAGCTGCATGTCTAGACCAACTGTTGATAACTGTGTGTCTGTTTATCAGATTTTTTGGCTGCCCTCCTATCCGAGTGGACAAACACACATGAAAATATCATGTTCAAATGCTCAACAAATCATTCTGGGTGACATATTGCGAGTGTGTGTGTGTGTGTGTGTGCGCGCGTGCGTGCCCACATGCATTCATCGAAACCTTTTGTATGCGTGTGTGTGTCTGTACACATGAACCCAAACGTGAATGACTGTGTGTGCTCATGTGTGACCATTAATACATGCTTCCACTTTGGTGAGCCTCTGATTGTTCACCGGTGTGCGTTGCTGGGTTTGCCACTTCCTCTTGGTGTTCCTGGCTGCTTCCTGCTTATTTGTGCATGTGTGCATATGTGTTGGCTGCCTGGTCATACATCAGTCCTTATACAACTGCTCTGGCCTACATCTGGTAGAACGCACACACTCAGCATGGACTGCTGCACCACAACACAATCCCTTAGCTGGGTAACCTATTTCTGGTTGTGGAGGGCACATATTCATTCTCTCTCAGCAGGAGCACAAGAGACCAATAACTGAACCGTTGGGTGTTAATGAAAAGCAGTAAACCCTAAGAAAAAGCAAATACGTTTTTACAACTGTGTTTGAAAAGTCTCTTAGGTCAACTTAGGTGGTCCTAAGTGTCATTCCTGCATAGGGAATGGCCAGGTGAAGAGTTTAATGATTGCTACATAAACACCTACTCTGCAAAGGTGTTTCCATAATCCATTTAGCTCATCAACTACTCCCGCCCCTCGAACCCAGACTGGCCAATCATAACGTGGAATCCGGCAGCACGATTCCTCCGTTAGGAGGATTTTCCCGTTTTCATACAGCTTTTCGAATGCAATACTTCAAAGTGCGCATGGACATATGTGAATGGAAGCACAGCTAATAACACTGCTTTAATAATCACACATCTTCCACTTAGGCCTCTCTCAAGTGGAACACTCCTATTCTACATGAAATAGCAGAGGCCATGTGGTCATCCACACTGTTAAAAGAGCCCATTCACACAGTGATGAGTGAATTAAATGTTTCTGTCCTTAGTAACAAATTAAATGGACCCCAGGAAGAGTAGCTGTTACCCTGGTTGTACACTGCGGAATCAAATAGACAGTATATCAAGCACCATAGTATTTGTACGACAAGGGTTTAACTTTGCTAAATAAATTAAGCTAAAGTCTAATTCAACTTTGTAAACCCATTTTTTTATAAGCTTTAGCAGTTGAAGTATTCAATGAAATCTAATTATAATAATAAGTCAATGCCAAACATACTCCTTTCCTTTAGACCATATGCAAACACATTTATTTCACACGTGTACAGTAGAGTAGTTTTAGGTCTTGAGATTTGTGGTGCAGAAATAAAGAGTAAAATCTGTTGCCAAGCCTGAATTCACTGATGTGCAGAGTAATCATTAAAAGATAACTAGAACAACAAACGGGTCGAATGAACACATCATTCAGAGATGAAGAGAGATTAAATAGTTGGTAACCTTGTGGCTTGTAGAGAAAAAGCTAATGACGTGTGTGAACCTCACATCCTGCATCTTTTAGAAGATAAAGAATTACGGCTGGTTTTCTTTTCAAGCTAATGTATGTAACTAACAAGAACGAAAGAAAGCCTCCCTTTTAAGTAGGTCACGATCACATAACCACTCACAAGTGTTATGCACTGACCTACATCTCTACAGACTGTTCTCACATTTTCCCCTGGATGGAAAAACAATTGATTATCCTCACATTTATTAGCTTTTGCCTTCGCTCTCTTTACCAAACACTTCTATGTTGTACATCACAGAGTACTTGTTAGTCTGTTGACTCTTCCCTTTGGCACAGGTTCTTTGTCATTTAATGCTACGTTCAATGAGAATAATATGTACAATAATATGTGCAAAGACAAAATGCCTTTTCACTAGAATTTCTGTGATTGAAACCTTTTGTTCTGAGAAGGCGTTCTGTACCGTTTTCAGTGCCATGGGATCTAATAACTATATCGATTGATGTTAAGTGAACTGTGGTGTATGTCTGTGAGGAGACAACACTAACGCAAGATGACAACATAAACCTCACACAAAGGGAGGCTTGCACTGATGAGTTATCTTCAAAGTGAGGCTCCATTATCTTCACTTTGTTTTTATATCACTCTGTAGTTTCCCAGTTGTGTTCACATCCCAACATTCACATTTTGGTTGAGTTACGTGTGTTTTATCTTTAAAATGCTGTTTTCCCAAGCCCATCTAAAACCTTTTTTCCACCTGACTTGAAGTTCGGTTTCTGCATGATGACGTTGCTACATATACAGTTTATATGCATCATCCACAGCCGCTTGATCTTGACGTCAGACAGCTCTTTCCGATGGGGAACTGTGGTCACTGGACTCCACTGACAAAAACGGTAATTTCACCTCGCAGAACACAGGTCCACTTTAAAAAAAAAATCTTTAAATGGACGAATAAAAACAATCGAATATTTGAATAATCTTACCTCCACCTGTTGACTCCGACGTTGGACGAGCCTGCAAACCAAGGGTCCAGGAAGTAAACACAGCGCACTGTGCCCGCCCCTTTGACCGCCTGCAGTATCGCTGGGTTATCATGGAGACGGAGGCCCTTCCGGAACCAGTGGATGGAATTTGGGGCCATTTTATTCTGAGAAAAGAAGAAGAAGAATCACGTCACAGCTGGTCGTAGTGGGCCGGCTAAGTGGATAGCAGGGCCGTCTTTCAATCAGAGGGTCGGCGGTTCAAATCCAGGCCCCGGCTCTGCTAGTCGCATGTCGATGTGTCCTTGAGCAAGACACTTAACCCCAAAAAAAAACTGCTCCCGTAGTTGTGCCTACGGTGTAGAAATGTGTAAGTCGCTTTGGATAAAAGCGTCTGCTAAATGACTCTAATGTAATGTCGTAGCAAACTGTGAAGAGATGCCTGAATGGTGCTTGTTTTGTGGAGCTGAATGTACACAACAGAGCGTAATGATGCTTTTTGTACAGTTCAGTACAAAACTCAATGTCTCCCTCCTCCTGCAGGAGAGATAATTAAAAGCATTCAAGTTGTAACAGTTGCCAACAGTGTGGGATGTGCTAAGAATAGAACAATGTGATGATCACATCGCTAGCCAAATTGTAGGCAGAGACATTTTTTAGGCATTTGGAGCTTGTTGAAATAGACCCAACAGTAAAATAAAACTTTCAGTGAGTCAACACAAGCAGGCAAAGGTAAGAAAACTCGAAGGACAGAGAGATGCCGATTGTTTAGCCTTTGGATTCATGTATACAAATGTTTTGTTTTAGATCGATAAGTTGATTTGTACAATATCAATATTTCCTCTGAGCAATAATGTGAATTCAACCGTTCAGTTCGCCTACTTATAATATTTTGCTTTTTACCGTTTACATATGTATAGGGCTGGGTATCATCTACAAATATTGCAATGCTATTACCTGCACCCTTAAAGTGACAACCACCGGAACCGGAAGCTCCATGCGTAGAGACGCACAAGCAGCAGCAGTAACAAAGCAGCACAAAGCAGCACTTGATATAACTGACGTAAGAAAAAGAAGGGACGGGTTGGATGGGACACAGTTTTGATAAACTGACTTGAGCCTTACAAGTATTGCATTGTAATGAGGACGAAATGTATTGCGAATCCACAGTTAATTAGATTAATGATAAACAATTTACAAATATATACATCTTAATAATATAATAGAATTTGGGAATGTTTTTTGAAAACCCAAGAAATGTTTGTACTAAGTTATATTTACGCAGATCAAGTCCACTGTAAACATAAGCATGTTGTGTAAAAGCATGATTCTGATTTTTATATCAGTAATTCATCAGTTCACTTGACAATAAAGTATCATACTACTTAAAAATAAATAAGATAAAAAGCAGGAATGCTTTAAAAAGGTAGTTTGATGGATCCTACTGACAGACTGGGAATTTAGGTCGCACCGTTTATTGTGAATGGAGGCAGACATCCACTTCATGAACTTCACCTGGAATAAATAACGCAATATCTGTCAGAAATAAAAAGCTGCAGAACATGTCAGAGTGGAATTTGGGAGTTTGTACAAGCGTTGAAAAATATACTTGAAGTTGAAATCTTTGGCAAAGAAACATCTCTGGAGACCAAAACGGGATCACCAGAGCAATTATTATGTAAGCGGTGGCGCTGTTTAAACAGTGTAGCTGGTTTCCCCTAAAACTAAACCCTTCAAGATGCCAAAAGGACCCCTCTTACCTCGTGCAGGTTACTCAAGTGTGATGATTATATCCAGCCCAAAGAAAGAAACATGTGTTCGGGTAAGTGCCGTGTGCCAGTAGAGCGTCTCTATTTACAGCCTGAGTGTCAAACACAAACCAGCGCTCTGCTGCTGCACTAGTTTGTCACATAAGAGTAAAGCTCACTGCGCATGCGCCATATACTGCTCCCACTCTAATGCTGCCTTCATGGCACACCGGTTTAAACAAACAAAGTGCCAACTTGCGGACAGCGTCCACCCCACATGGCAATCGTACAGTATAATTGACGTTATCAGTTGACAATAACAGCAAACACAATAACATACCTACGTGTGAAATATTTTTTAGGATGATATATTATGAAAAGCCATTTTTCCGTGTGAACCATTTGGTTTTTATACAAGGTAATACGGCATTTCGTGTGCTTTTTGCGCATATACATTTATAGTGACACTGATAACAGAATCACAGGATCAAGAGAGGATCAAACGAAGTTGGATTTTCCGCCTGAAAGCCTGTCTGAACCGTGAAATATGTTTGAAAAATCTGATCGTCTTATTTACCGCAGTACCAGAACGCTGCACGAGACTTGTCAAACGTGACCAGTGACGTGCATCAAAATCCGACGTTCCCATTGGCCAGTTTGCCATGTAGGCGACAATGCGAGGTCACGTTTGCGAGGCATGGGAATCAAGGAAGAGTCCGTGTACGTTCTGATAATCTGTTTTACCGTTTAATCGAAAAAAAACCCCGAAAATACAGAAATACCATGAAGCTATAAAAGATGTTCATATACTGTATATTCATTGATGGAAATACTGAAGTCCACCCTTACAGCCGCGGCTGTAATGAACAATCAAAAGATGATTTCATTAAAAAACGATTTTTCTCTGAATAATGGCGCTAATGCAATTTATGCTTATTTGAATGAAGAACTGGCCTGAACAAATTAGAAGTTACTCATGTTCTTAGATGTTACAGAAGGTGTCAAAAGTAGGGCTATATTCTCTTTATACCTCCAAATTGAACGCCACCAGACAATGTTTATAAAATGTTAGGCATTCTAGATCTACACCAGAACCTTTTCCTATACTTGCAGTGATATGATATGATATGGCTCAAGATAAAATGATTATCACAACACTCATCCTGTTGACCAGAATAAGATCTGAAACTTTGAATAGATGTCAATAAACCCGATACAATTGCTTGTTTTTCTGTTTATGCTTATTTTTCCATGGCAAAATGAAAAGAATATCAGTATTTAGATTGTTCATTTTGTGTTAAAATACAGTACATATTTTTCATCTTTGGTATTTTAAGATTGTTCATTAAGCAACAGACCACACAGACCATTTTTAACTGTTATTTATTTTGGGAAGTTTCAATAGCAGCATCAAGCAAATGTGTAACTGTCGGCCCCGAATGCCAAGGTCAAACTGCACCAACTTTAACACTTTCCACCGCCAGAAAAGCATAGTTTACATTTTTTCTCCTTATTGTTTAATGAGGATATGTGATGAAGAGTAAGAAGTAAGTCAAATGTATCTTTGTAGCACTTTTCAAGATCAAACATCTCAGGTAAAGTGCATAGAAATAGCAAGACATAAAAACATAGTCAAACTGAACAAATGCCCATACCAGTAGGTCTTGAGATGCTTTTTAAAGCTCCATGGTGTCCTAAATTGGATTACATTTCAGTATCTTGGACCAATGAGCCAAAAGCGTGATTGTTTAAAGTCTTATTTCTATCACAGCACGGGACAAACAATGTGTCCCTTTTCTGAGGACTTGAAATTAAGCATCAGCATATTACAAAATCTGGTTAATCAGTGTTAATGACTGATTGTCTGGCGATAGCAATGTGCTATCCTACGCTGTAACAAGAGTGTGTGGATGGAGCAATAGTTGTTAAATTCTTCTGATTTAGCGGCTGGTTAGTTGCTAATTTCACCATGCCTTTCATGCTACAGTCACGGAACATAAAATGCACAACATGAACTACTGGGCTTGATCTATGTTACTTTAACATTTAACCAGACTTTTTAAATTACTGTTCATGATAGCCTGTATCCTTTTAATTATCTTATGCTATTTGCATTTTAATTGTATTATGGTTCGGCTCATTGAAAGATTAACGGCTTCTCTTCTCTAATACTAAAGAGTATAGAAGCAAAGAGGCAAACATTTTACTTTTTTGACAACCGCCACTAGATAGGGCTGCGATGGAGCGGCCACGGATGCATAAAGAGACATCAGAGACCAGAGGATAATGAAGTACATCAATTTCCCAGTACGAACACTTAAATAGCCCTCATTTAAATCATTCTGTCCTAAAAGTAGTAAAATGCACTAACAGCAGTCCACTCAGGGCTAATAAGTCCTGCTGAAGTGCAAAATGGTACGAATAGAAACTAATATGACGAGTGGGGCATGATGACATACTTGTTGTGTAATGACAAATAGCCACTTTCATTAAAAGTCCATCTGTGCAACATCCGTCCATTTGTTGAGGGTTCTCCAGGATTATAGCATGTGTGGATGACTGAGTCACAGCAGAGAGCTCCTGCCTTCCTGATAAGAATAGAAGCCAACTCACAGGGGCAGAAAAGCCACGCGGAAGTGCAAACACCAGAGAAAGTCACATGGCTGCAAATCGCCAGCATTTATTTCTGCTTGTGTGTGTGTGTGGGATAAGGGTTGACCTTGTTTTGGGCTGTGTTCATCTGTCAGACATCTGCTAAACTACATTAACTGTACAAACCTGAGATGTTAATTGTTAATTTAAACTTGATGAATCCCACACAGGTTTGGGCCACTTGTAAAATTACATTATCTAACATTGCTTGAGGAGCCACTTGAGAACAAACTGTTGCCATCACTAGTTTTCTCATGAATATTTTGCTTTACCCTCACCCATCACAGTCTACCTTTATAAATCCAAATTTAATTTATTCAAGGTCAAATTTCTTCACCACACGCTTCAGAGCTTTTACCAGCGCATCACATCTTCCTTTCGAAAAACCGATCCAAGGTCACCGTATAACTCTCGGCAACTGTCACCTATTTTAAATCAAGGCAGAAGACTTTTCTGATTGCCGCTGCCTTTAATTGAATCATTTCTTACACTGCATTACAACTTTTGTTCTTGTATTTTAAAGCTGTCTTATTGTATTTGAACTTGTTTTCTATTTTCTATCCTCTTGTATTGTTACGTGTCAGGCTGGGGCAAGGCGCCTGTGTATGTGCTTTCTCCCCTCCTGCCTTTCTTTCTCTCTCCCTCCCTTGTTTCCTCTTCATGTGCCAATAAGGTGATTGGTTTCCAGCTGTGCAGGCCAGTCATGCTGCTCCTTGGGTTCAACAGATTTCATGCTGGCCGATCAGCAGAGTGGGGCCCAGCATAATAGGAGGAAGCCTGAGGAGTTTATAGTGACACGGATGTTGTTGAACCTTTCGTTTGAATATACCTTTAGTAGTTTAGAGTTTAAATAAATATTGTTGAATTGTTACTTCTACTTTTTCACATTTTTGGTTGTCGTGTGTTCGTACTTATCATAGACTAATAGAAAAGGGATGTCACATATTTTTAACGTTTTTAAATTGTATTTAAATGTCCTTTTATGATGCGTTTCTCTTGCACTTTGTCTTTTGATGTTTTATGTAAAGCGCTTTGAATGTGCTCTAAACTTGCCTTGCTTTAAAAACAGTGGGGATTTACCCACAAGTCTCTGCAATCACGGGGTCATGTTGACAAATGAAAAGCAGAATGTCGACAGCATGTGTGTGAGCTTTTGACGCCCCCAAGGCACATGCACATCCATGTGACTTTGTATGACACACACTAACACAGCAGCACCTGCACACCATTTGCCTTACACCATATATGCACACACACACACACACACACACACACACACACACCCCTTGTTAGCATGGGAACACCACAGCTGTGTTCAAAATTGCATACTAAATAATATGTTAGTATGGGTATTGGAACACAACGCACACCATGTGTCTCTGCCTAATGGAGGGGGTGACCTGGCGGCTGTACGGAACACTCAGCAGCATAACCAATCTACACCGCCCAACATCAACATCTAGGATGCCTCCACTGGCAACCTCCTTGTGATTCTTCTGTCCCCTTATAGAAGCACTTTAGGGTAAAGTGCTGTGCTCAGTGGTGCCTCAAACAACTTGAGGATCTAAAATAATGAGCAGGTCCTGACTGTGTTTGCCTGTCGCTGTGATTCAGCAGCAGCGTGCTCCTCTGTTGCACTCTGAGTCCAGTTGAGGGTAAACGCTGTCTTGAGGTCCGGGTTGGAGCGGGTCCAGACTGCACTGAACCGACAAAATCTCCTGCACCAATCTCCTAAAACACAACAGATATAGTGACTTAAATTCAATGAATCATCAAAATATATTTCACATTGAGGAATCTATTTATCCAGCCACTTAAATTACAGTCGTTTGTCTCAGTGGCATTAGGATGAGATTCACTGACAAACATGTCAACTACAATACTTACTGACATACAGTGGAGACAGAAGCCTTAGCATCCTCATGCTGCAATCCACTGACTGAAAATCACTCTAGATTAAACCAAAATGTCCCCATAAAGCCAACTCCTATAATTTCCTGACTATTTTCAGGCTTTCAACATTTAATGCATCGCTTTGAAGGAACAGGTATAAAACCACTTCCTCAGAAAAGAGGAAATAGGACAAATATAGGAAGCGACTGCTAAATGTACCCATACAGAAACTGCATTGTCAATTACTTTTTGAGGGAAACACATTTCTCCTGGATTTCTCCTGGTAAATGGGGGGGGTCAACACACACATTTTACCCAGGAGACTGCTGTTGTTGTCCCGTGTAAAACCAACGTTCACTTAATTTGGATTTACATCCATTACTTAGACAAGCGGCCCTTCTCTGTGGAGTTTGTATGTTCTCCCCGTGTCAGCGTGGGTTTTCTTCAGGTTCTCCGGCTTCCCCCCACAGTCCAAAGACATGCATCTTGGGATGATCGATGACTCTAAATTGCCCGTAGGTGTGAGTGTGATTGGTTGTTTGTCTCTATATGTACACTGCCTTCGCCCCAACGTCAGCTGGGATCGTCCAGCCCCCCCCCCAGGACCCTGAACAGAACAAGCGGTTAAAGATAATGGATGGATGGACTTAGACAAGGTAACAAACGCACTTATTTTAAGCCAGCTAATGACGTGTTACTTAACCTAACCAAGTAATTTTGTTGCAATTTTGTTTTGTGTTTAACATTAACATTAACCACATTATTTGTTTAAAACTGCGACCGTAATCCAGGAGAAAACATGTTTCCCTCGAAATGTAACAGTATTATGAACATTTCCATTTTATAAAAAATGACGGTAATAGTTTTTGTATCGACCCAAACAATTCTGAAACCTTGAAGCTCATGTACAAACAAAAAGATTCCAAACTTTTAAACTCAATTAGACTAATAAGTGAGAATTTTAGTTTACAAATGGCTATGACATCACTGCTTTACACAAGGAATCGGATAACAACTTTGATTTGGCTAACATTTTAACTCTGTCCTGCATGGTCTCTGGGAGGAGACCATGCAGGACAAGGAGCTGGGTAAAGGGACTCTCAGCTCTCATTGTTACTTCTGTGATACCGACCAAGATGAATTAATGGGTGTGTGGTTTTTATTAATCATTCACAAAAGACTCCATATTTATGTGTAGGATTTCTTGCTGGTTAATAAGGATAACAGGCCTTCTATTGTTTTGGCACAACAAGTATCTTAAAATGTACTTTTTAGTCACACTGCATCATCTGAACTCTCTTTTGGAGTTACCTCATCGCCTCCCCAATGTTCTTGTTGTCTTTGACCGAAACCTCCATCCAAGTAACAAAGCCGTTGGCCTTACTGAACCTGTCGATGCTGTCTGCGGTCACAACCCGCTGAGCTAGGTCACACTGCAGAGAGAAAGAGAGGCAGGAATACATGTTGTTCTTGTAAGGTGAGGGGCTCAGAATCTTCCATAGAAATTAGTCATTATTATTATTAGTCATCCATTATTTGCAGATTGAAATATTTTCATTTAATCTGACATTTCAGTCTGTAACCAAAGTGGAAATAGGACTATTAGCTCTGTGAGTTTAATGACAAATCAATTGTATGAATAACACACACACACACACACACACACACACACACACACACACAAAATCAGACCTACAGTTGGCCTTGTGTAAACCAAGACAGAATAGATGACCTGAGACATTGTTTGATTTTGAATTGATTTGATTCACTTATCTCCTTGTCACGTTTCTCTGGAGAGCAATAATAAAAGGTTACGTTTTATGAAATGTCTGTCAATGAATTTAATTAAGTTAATTCATAGAAACACTGAGTGACAAAAATATCAGCTTTTAACACCGAACTAATGAATCTTGTTTATAATGTTGTTATAATACAAAACTAATTCATTAACCCTGAGCCATAAGGGGTTCGTGATACATTATTCATTATTCAAATGCATTGACTCACCTTGTTGGCCAGCAGGATGCAGGGGATGGAGTCTCCGCTGGGCAGCAAGGCTTTGTTGTCCAGGTCTCGTTTCCAATGGCAACAGCTAAGGAAGCTGGCCGAGCTGGTGACATCAAACATCACAACGCAGCCCACTGCGCCTTTATAATAAACCCTGTTCATAGATATGAAACGTTCCTGGCCTGGAGGGAAGACACAGAGTTCCCTTTATCTGCATCCATCCATCCATCCATCCATCCATTCAACCAACCATGTTGTACCTGCGATGTCCCATAGTTGGAGTCTGACTTTTTCTTTATCCGACCAGAGCAGCAGCTTCACAGAATAATCCACTAGAGAAATAAATAAAATACACATCAGAGAAAGAGAAATAGAAGAAGTGAAGGGAAATAAGTGAGAAGTGAGACAACTGAAACAGAAGTGAAGCCTTATATGGAATTCCATATGTTGCTCAAAATAGAAAATTCACCAACATTTACTTCTGAATTTCGGACTTTCATTCTAAAGGCCTTTACACACAGGGGGGATGACAAATAAACAACACAAAAATGCTAAATACTCGCCTGCGAATATTTCACATTAAAACTATCCATACCAGCAGCGATGTAAATTTACGACAACTTTAAAGATAGAAAGAAACACAGTTGTTTTTTATGTAACAAACATACTTACTAACAGAAAAATGAGAAATAGGTTCTCGTAAAATATACAAATGGTTGTTTGAGGATATGTTGCAGCATGCTGCTCACATTGAAAATGCTGACATGCTGATGTTTGACTTACTCTGAGGCTAGGAAAGTCAGAAATAATTTAGAGAAGGACTAACACTGTTTGTTTTAGTCTTTTCATGAGACTTGATGCTAATAACATGTTTATGTCGGCTATATTCTTTGGCAACATGTTTTTGATCCAAATACGATGCCAATAAAGCCTCAAAGAACAAGGAAATGTTAATTGAGGGTTTGATGAAAATTGTAAACCTTTCATTGATCTGACAAAGCTTTTACCATTAATTAAATATTCACACACACACGCACACACACACACACACACACACACACACACACACACACACACACACACACACACACACACACACATTCCAAACCAAGATTAAGGTACTGTACAGTCACGTTCTACTACAGAACACAGAGAAACCAAAGCAACCGCACCTCCCATTGTCATCTTGTACGTCTTGATGAATTTTCCATTGACGTAGCGCTGCACAAAGGAGGATTTCCCAACAGTTCCATCGCCAATGATCAGTATTTTCAGCAGGTGCTCGTTCATCGCTCTCTGTCAGACAACATCATGTGCCAACAGCTCAAAGTTCAAACCTCATTTCAGGAAATGAGATTTACTTGAGTTATTTTTCTGTAACTAAACAAACCCACCTGGACTTTGCTTTACCTGAGCCTTTCTTTGCAGTGGTTGACCATAAACATTCTAATTCCCTTTAGTCCTTCTAAACTCAATGTATCCACTAACAATAAAAACTTCTTTGCCTCTAAACCCCAAAATTTTGCATTACAATAAATCCATTTATCTTTCCCGTGCCAACTCTATACCTAATACGTAAACAGTGCTGACTGTCCTTTTCTCTGTGTGGCACAGCCCTCAGGTCTGCTAGATTTGCTTTCAGGAAGCAAGTTGCCAACAGGGAACTAGAACAGTTGATGTTTGTCTCTCACATTTTTCTCTTGCACCTCATTGTATGAAATATGACATTAGATTATTGGAAACTGTCTCCAACAGTAGAGTCATGCAATGATTGGTAGTTGTCTTTTTAACTTTTCCTCCAATGCCATTGCTCTGCCTAAGACTTGAGTATTTTGTATGAAATTTTGTAATGTTCAACTGTTATTTTCCTTTTTATGCTACAGTGATGGAAATATGATCACTAATAAAGTCATGGGTTGCTCTGGCATTGCCTTAAATAGACTCCTCTTGGATTTTGTGCTGTAATTCAAACACTGGAACTGGAACTACACACAGTTTTCTACCACAATGCGTCTTCCCTTCAGTGACATTAACATTAGAAATCTCTTCATGCCACTTGTTCCACCTGCACCAGCTGCAGTTAGGGAAGGATGGTGGACACAATTAAGGCAAGGCAAGGCCAACATTAACTGAATGTGAACTCCGGATACCTGGCATGATAGTCAGACGCGCAACATGCCGATACAAAACCTTGACCTCCACACGCTTACTTACACCTTTGCTGCAGAAATGACACAAAACTTCCTGCATTGGCACTGAACGTTGGACATTGGGCGTAAATCGTGTCCAATATGGATCTAGTTCCTAGTGAGCTGACCTGCCGCTCCTCATCCTCCTCTTTATTCTTGTTCTTATATGACATCTCTTCTTCTGTGTCTTCCTCCATCACACCTATTCATCCTCCTCTGTGGTGTTGACCACATGTCTCATGAGTTTTACTGCTCTGCCAACTAGGCCACTGTAACTGGCTACTGAACATGCTTCAGTCCGCCATTGACGCTGAGTCATCTTCATGATACTGTTTGAGTGCGTTTTTCCTGTTTGTGTGTTTTCGTGTCTTGGTCCTTTTCCCAGTGTCAGTTGCAGTACCACTCAGGGTTTAAAAATAACTCTTATTGACAGACCCAACCCATTTATAATATGCTAAACTGTACTATAATCTTAGTTTGAACCAGAAAAATTAGACAGGTTTTCCGGAAGGGGAGCCATGGACAATAACTAGTGATGCAAGTGTGTTTGCCAACTGTCCAAAAAGACACATTAATAACACCAACATTTCGCCAATATAAGATTCCTGATTCTGTCTCTATGTGCTAGCCCTGCGATGGTCTGGCGACCTGTCGAGGGGGAACCCTGCCTTCGCCCAATGTCAGCTGGGATCAGCTCCAGCCCCCTGCGACCGGTTTAAGATGGCTGTTAAAGATAATGGATGGATGGATAGTCATAATCTGTATTATTAAACAATGGATTTACAAACAGAATATCAATAAATGCAGTCGCAAATTATTGTATAAAAATGTGCATAACATTGTATAATATGTTGTATAAATAATGTGAACATGTAGATGGTTTACCATCCAAATTAAATCTGATTGATTTATTTTTTTTAACTTACAGATTAATCAATGAACTGAAGGCTACAATGAATTTACAGTATGTTGTGCTGGGCCTCTGTGGTTTCTCGCTGGTATTTGTCTGACACCTGGGGGTCATGTTACAAACTGCAACATCATCCACATGCAACACAACGGCTTCTGCTGGTTCGGTCTACGGGAAAAATTTTATGTCAAAAATCAAATAGCCATGACTCCAACAATAAGTTTAATGTAAATTTAAATATGGCTACTTAATACTGTTGTGTTTTATTTTCAAGACTACGAACAGAGCTCCGAATAGGAGATGATGCTGTACAGTACGATCAATTCAAGATTCTATTTTATTCTGTCATTTCATTTCTTTGTTTATACATTTAAAAAAATGTAATCACTTAAATTCTTAAACTTAATCCAAACGTTTCCATTATATGAACAATACATACAGAATTAGAAAACAAGGAGCAAATAAATGAATGCAAAAGACTTTAGCTCTTTTCCAGCACTTTGTAACTGAACACTGTTGAAAAAACTTCTCTCTAAAGTGATAGATTATGTAAATACAGTTTTTAATCCTGCTAATTTAGACAAAGAATTACAAGATATAGTTAAACTTTACAGATTTTTTATATTTCCACATTTTGACCCACAGAACCTGCAGCCTGGAACTCTGGTTGTCACGACACAATATTCAGTTCAAACATAAATTGTATAATGAGACCCGGCAGATGCAGCAGTTTGGATCAATCGGTACGTCATCTTTTTCACTCTTTCACTTCAGTTTTACAAATGTGAGCTAACGTTGTCTACAGCACCAACTGGACCTTTAAACACAGAGGCAGCAATAATCATACAAGGTGCAGTATGTTGTGCAGAGTAGCACAGTTATGGATTGATTCAACATTTTCTCACAGCTGTCACCTCCAGTTTGAACACATCACACAAAAAACTCCATGTCGTTAAGTTTCACTGAGTCTTCCAGGGTTAAAGTCAGCTAATTGTAGCTACATCATATATTGGAGAGCAATTATACTTTGACACATGACATTGATTTATATTTATGTGATAAAATCATATAAGCCTAAAAACAAACACAGCATGTTGCCTAGCGATACAAACTTAATATTAAAAAAAAATCAACAAACTTGTCGATTGCAGTGACTAAAGTGATTAAATACAAAATGTCTTCTTCTTCTTCTTCATCTTCATCTTCTCCTTTTTGTTCTTCTTCTTTATGACACATTGAGTGGAAAACTAAATATCTTTTTATTTCCTGCAGATTTACCATCAAACAGCAAAATGCAGCATGTGACTGTCTGGATTGACCTCCTCCTCCTCCTGTTCCTCCATTGTCTGACTTCAGCTGACCTGGAGGAGGTGGATAGAATGCTGGTGATGGTCATTGTTGACAGCTCTCCCTGCAGCACCACCTGCGGACTGGGCGTTAAAACTCAAACCCTTTGTTTACTGGAAGATGGCGAGACAGCCACTGAAGAAGTGACAAGTAAAGATGGAACAGAGGTACAACAGAGATGTCTTGAACATCTAACTAACACTAAGGCTGGGTTGCACTGACAAGGATTCATTTTTAAACCCGATTAAATTATGTTGCTACAAAAGTCAAAACTTGCTAAAAATGAAGATAGCTTAAATTTAAACCTCTCTTTATAGTTTTATATAACGTGCAAAATGAGACAAAATCAGACAGGTTCAACAGAAGCTCCTTTAACTCAGACAATGACTAGCCCACCGCAGACAGACTGTTGGATTTAATAAACGGAGATTCGTTTTTAACTGTGGAGAGCCCTGCCTAAGTTCTTTAAATCTGGATTCACTCATTTTAAACCTAGTTTTGCTTAACTCTGATTTGAACTAATTTTAGATTTCATGCTCCAATTGTTGTCATCTGCATGTGGAAATGGCTTAATAGAAGGTGTCGGAGGATTGCCGTGTTCGTAAGGTAAAGTGTCTGGAGTCGTGGCAGTGTGGACTCAGGACCATGACTGTGACTTCAGGAGAGAGAGTGGAGATCGACTGTCTGGGAGAAGTCATGGAGGCAATGGGCAGGTTCTCCTGGAGGTAAGGATGGAGGAGATTTTGTGGTGATTTGCGTCCTTTTGATTACAAACAAATACCTACAAACCCATTTCAGAATAGAATAAAATTGCTTTTTGGTTGCTCTTTGTTAAAGTGTGTTAGCTTAGTTTCCTCAGCCCAGGGCTTGATTAACCCGGCAGGGTGCCCCAAGGCAAAACATGACGGTCTCGGGCACCGATACAGTAGCGTACTTTGGCCAGTTTGTAATCCAACATTGCCTCAATCTCAGTGGGTACAATTTCCATCCACTACCTGGAATAACGGAGCTAATTTGTATATACATATTCAAGTAAAATGCATACTTAAGTTGTCCAACAAGGCAAGGAAACACAAACTGAGGACACAACTGTTATTTACAATTGTTAAAAAGTTGCATTCTGCCATTTAAAGCTGGCGTGTAAATTAAATGATCCATTGTTTTTATTTTCTCAAGGTAAGGTTTCATTTTTAAGAGGAACAACCTGTAATTGCAGCAGCTCTTTGATGGAGGGCAGTGCTTACTGTGATGTTTTTCCTTCATGGCTCAGGGTGTCGTGGCGTTACGCTCGAGGAATAATCACCTCTGATGACTCTCTGTTTATTCGCCGGGATGCTCCTCTGCTGGATCGAGTTATTCTGGACCCCATCAGGGAAGAGGACGCAGGTAAACACACCCATACATGTGGCTTACACAGACTGGCTTAATTTCAGAACTCCATTTCCTGGTGAGCTCAGGGTTGGGCCAGTAGGTATTGTGAGAAATTAAGTTAGGAAGTATTGATATGTACGTCAAGACAGTCAGACTCTACAGTTTAAGTATAAAGTAAAGTTACTGTGAATTCAACTGTTTTTGGCTCCCATTTGACAAGCAATGGGAGCCAGACCCCCGTGTGGCCATTTTGCGCTTCACAAGTGACACTGCTCTGCACTCATGCCTGAAAGGTAGAGACAAATAGCCGGTTTATCTGAGGGCACTGTACTGGCAAAAAACATATTTTGCAACTCTGGAAGTCTGATGCTGTGCCTTCATTTGAGATGTGGCTGAGAGAGGTCTGAGGGAGGGTGAAGTTGTGGTCAAATATTCAACAATAATAACCATGTAATAGTGCTAGATGTATATATGTCAACTTATTTGTATTTTTTTGTGTCTCTTATTGCTGTCTTGGTTAGTGAGCTTGTTTCTTAACATGAGTCTTCCTTTTGAACTATACTCGTGGGTTGATTTGTGCAACATTTTCCACATCATTTTAATACCCCATTTTTTCACTATTAAGTTGTTATTGTAAAAAAATGGAAAAATAATATTTCTTTTATGTGCCAACGATACCTTGCAATGAAACTATTCTTAAAAAATAAAATAATTAACATTTTCACTATGACATCGTCGAAGCGGTGCTGAAATTTCCACACAGGTAAACACACACAAATCCATGGGAGCACTTTCATACAAAAACACTAAAGTGCTGCTAATCATGTCATTTTCAGGTACATATCGCTGTATCGTGCAGGATGTCACCTTACGCAGGGTGAAGAGGGTTTACTGGGGGATCCGGGTCTTACCTGTCGGAATTCTCAATCTGGACTACGAAAGCTCTCTGGCCCAGTGGGACTCCACTGGAAATCAGCAGAATGAGACCGCATCAGACCAGCATCACCAAAAGATGGCTCTTCTTTACCCAGTGCTGTTTGGTTTAGGAAGTCATTGGTTTGGGGATGCAATGATGCACTAATTATTATTTTGGGGGTTAATGTATTTTAATGTTTTTTTTTAATTACTTGCTTAACAATTTATCAAAATCATTGATTAAAATTACATTTATTAAATGTTAACTTTGACCCCTCTCATCACAGATGCTGATCAGTCTGAGCCTGTCAGGCGTCGGCGCTGGATTGATGCTGCTGGGACTCTACTGGACAGCGAAGAGGAGAGGGCTCAAGCATTTTGACAGATGTTGCTGTTTTTCCCTTGCTCAGCGCACACACAATTAAATTTCTGCTCCACATGGATTATATCTCCAGAATGATCCCCTCAAACAACAAACAAACAAACAAACGTCTGAGATAGAATGAAAACTTTTGATTTCAGCTTTCAACTGGAAAGGGAAAATATAATAAAGCCACTTTTTAAAGCAGCAAAGCTATAAGTTGTAAGATGTATAAAGCTATAATCAATATTTTTTGATAATAACAATATATCAAATAACACTCGTAATGATAAACCTCCAGAGGATTATTGACTGAATCTGCAGCTCCATGAGTTTCAGCTCATTATTTAGCTGTCATCTTTACTGATCGGTTTTCTTTCACCGCTCTCATAGTGTAATTTCTCGGCTGCAGCAGGCAGTTGTTTTCAACAAAGAGCTCTAAAATGCCACAATACGCTACCTACTCAGCAGCAAAAAGCAGAAAACAGCAGAAAACAGCAGAAAACAGTTAGGCTCCGATCCCAAAACCTGTTAAACCTACAGCCTTTTTTGTTGAAGCCTACTAAAGAGCAGCTTGCTCAGTCTTTTTTAAAAAGTGCTCTGTCTGATCTGGGCCTTAGAGACAAGCTGGTGAACACAGTGCAGCCTTTAGCAGCGAAAGAACCAGATAATTGAGACCAAAAACGAGCTAAAAGATAGTGAATATTGCTTATGAAATGCTTTTCAAATGTAATTTGAAGGGGATGCATTGGATATGTTTGTTAGTTGTTCATTGGAGAGTAACACTGAATGGAAACTCTACAGTATATCTGATGCAGATATTTAAGAAAGGGCACACCCAGGCTTAGCTTCCAGTTATTCTGGCTGATAAGACTCAGGGCCCAGGGCCAAGCTATGCTGCAAGTATGTAAGGTGCATCTCTGTCCTACATTTCAAGTGTCTTACCTAAAAACTCAGAGGGAAGTTTGGTATCTATAGAAACAAATGCAGTTATTCTTTTGGCGCAAGGAAAAAAAAATATTCAAACGACGCTTTTATTAGCAATTGATAATGGTGATATTTTATATATGCATGCAAGTTCACCTTCTTTGTAAATGTTATATTCAGTATATCATTCTGCCTTAGGATTTGTCTCTGATTCAGGTTTCCGCACACATCATTGCAGTTTGTATGAGAAGGTTTGTCCTCCTTATACAACTGGAGAACTGTTGAACATTAGCACATTCTTCTGAAAGCCAATGTTACACGCACAACTTATCTATGTTTTCTACTGACTCCTAAAACTATCAGAAGCTGTAACCTTCATTTCTAAAACCTGCACTGCCTTTGGTGAAAGTGTTTTTAAAGTTTTTGCACCCTCATCTAGATTATTTTATGCACATTGGGAGATTATAAAAACAGGATTAAGGACTATTTGACTGCTGAATATGCTGTTACTGAACAGTGCTAATGACACTGGTTGATGTAATTTGATGTTAGTGAGTCAGTTCATTCTGCTTTTCATGTGAAACTTTTTATGCCGCCATGCGGTGAAGACTCCCATGAAAAAGAGATTTTGAATCTCAATGTCAATCTCAAATATTCCTGGTTCGATAAAAAAAGTATTAATATGAAGGATATATTGGAGGTTACTCCACCCTAACTGGTGCACCAAAGCTGAGAGGAGAGATTAGGACCCACAGAGTCCTGAGGAGACATTAAAACAAGCAAAATGAAAGCTCCTGTGGAGGTGGACCATAGCTGATTAAGGGTATTAACCATAAAACAACTGAGTAAGACAAAATGAAAACATTCAAACTCTGGGCGTGACAGGAGTCAAGAGTGTGTTAGACGGTTGTTTAACTCTGTGCCGGCAGATGGCAGTGTTGGTTCATTAAAAGGTTCTGACAGACAGTATGACGTTAAGCATGAGCATAATCATTCAATTTCTCCACCGTGACCACGCTGCATAATGGGACTGAGCTGCCACAGTGGAACGAATCTGATGAAGAGGCAGGAAGACAAAAGGATCCTCTCAAAAACAAGATGATGCATCTCAAATTGTTGATGCTCGTTACACGTCACAAACAAAACTTTTGGATGGATGAAAAATGTTAAGGCAGCTTTGTTATTTTAAGATCCTTAGCTCTCAAACCATCGACGAGAGCAATGTTTGAGGTGCGGGCTTGTGAAAAATCCCTGTGGCTGACATTTGTGGGTTTTAAACTTACTAACAAGATTAAATGTAAATATTAGGAACCCATCAAGTCTTTGAGTCATAAAAGGCAATCATTTGTTAATGATCAGACTCTGATCAAGATACTCTGCAGGTCTTTCCAGAGGGTAAGTGGTCCATGTCCACCTGATGAACTACAATTCAAAAAAATATAGTCAATTGTCCTTCTGGTGGAGCATGAACACCCACTACAGAGATTTTTCACAACCTGGCAACCCAAAAGCTATTATATGTGTGATTCACTAAGTGGTGCCAAATACTACCGAAGTGGTAATATTTAGCTGAATCAAAATGGTTTAGTTTTCATACTCAGAACTGTTAAAAGAGCAAACTTTTGCAACCAGTAGGTTGACAAGCATGCGTAGCAGAATACCTAGGGCAGACAATATAGAACAACAAAACTCCTGCACACTGTCTTCTTCACATACATTGAATGCAAGAGAAGAAGACAGTGTGCGGGAGTTTTTTTGTTCTATATTGTTTTCAGTGTTTAAAAAAACTGCATGTAACTGCTAATTTTGGTGGAAAAAGTTAACAAAGACATATTCTGGGGATTTAATAAGAGCTTGAAGTACTGCACCACCACTGTCCTGTTTATGATCGACTTACAAAACTACCCAACAGTGAATTCAATTAACTGCACCTCATGCATCAGTAATACCACTACAGTAACACTGTTCTGCATAATAGGTGGGTGTATTTTTGCTGATACTTCTGAATATTTAGCTGATAGTGCATCTGTGCTTATTTGAAAACAAATTTTGAGTGCAAGACCTTTACATCTAAGTATATTCACACTGTAGTATTGCTGACCTTGAAAGAATCTGAATATCTAGGCCAGTTTTAGGACACAATAATAACAAATGTTGACGTCATCAAAGTGCAATCACTGAGGCAGAGAGAGAAAGGCGATGAGGACAGATGTCTTTGCTCGTCTGTGATGAGCGTCTTTATTTGTGCTGTTTTGAAAGGAGCAGAGGCAAACGAGGGGCTCAGGGGAAAACACACAAATGCAATTATGATGATATGCTGACTGTAATTCATTCATTTCCTCGTGAAACTTGCCCCATTGAAACCCGAAGAACGTCATTTCCCTCCATGTGCTTATTTGCAACATCAGTCTACAAGATGTAACTGTTTTCCCAGCGCTCACTGCACACACAATTTAATTACTGCTCCCCTGAACCATCACAGAACACATAATAGTCGGACATTGAATCAATAAATGGATGATCTCTCCACGACGAACGCCTCCAAAAAAAGATTCTGAATGAAAATGAGAGAAAAGAAATCAGATGTTAGATGCTTATTATAACCATGTTGAGCACTGGAGAGATGAGATCAACAAACTCTCCTGTTGTTCTCAGTTTTCTGAAATGAAAATATGAAGTAAACTAAATGTCAGAGTGAGTTACTAGTGACCTTTAGATGTTTCCTATCTTCGAAAAGGTCTTCTTAGTTTTTGAACTTGTATTTTTTGCTGCCCCTCTTGAGCCATATTCTAAAAAGCAGTGGTGGAAAGTAACAAAGTACATTTACTCATTTACTGTACTTGTATTTCCACCATATACTACTGTAGTCCCTGATCAGACACAGCGTGTTTTGGTGCAAATTGATGAAAAAAGAAGTAAATTAGACTCTTGGAGCTGCAATCTCTTAAGCGCAATTTCTTTTGGGCCCTTCAGGCGCTGCAGCTAGCGGTTGCAAATGATGTGCAATTCATGGGCTTATCAAGAGCCTCAATCTATTCTTTGCGAATTCACCCTTCAGTGTGTTTACACAGGACAGGTGACAAAATGAAGTACACTCAAACCACAAAGAATGCATACTAAATATGGTCGTTTGTGCATTGTGTGAGAATAGTATACATCAGCAGTAAAAAGGAATAGGATGAGCTTCTCACAGCTGGAAGCAAATAGAAATATATTGTAAGTGCTGGTGAATTAGCTCCAGAAATATCTTGAGAAAGAAATTTAGCTTTCTGATTGTGAAGTTTAACTAGCAGTGTTGTTCCAAAGTTGCAGTTTGATGGACGTCTGAGTTTAACACATTGTATAACTTCCTGTAAGTACAAAGCATGTTGACTTTGTGAAGAGGTCTTACTTTGTGAAGAGGTCTTACGAGGATACTCAAAAGCCCCTTTCAGAAACCAACCAACATCTTGCTTTTGTCTGAAGTGGTAAGGGTTAGAATGGGCATTCACTCCTGGGACAAAAATATGGCTGCAGCCTGACTTGGTGATACTGTTCCAGACTATTAAAGCAAAAATTTAATTTTCTCTCAATTGCAAATCAATATGGATATTAAAGTCTAATATCAAGCACGGAGACGGCAGTTTGAACAGGATGTCGCAGAACAAAGCCGCCAGCATGTTCTGAAAGTCCTGCAGATTTTAATTATATGGGTCTCATTTATGGACGTTTAATGGTTTCTGAGTTAAGAACCTGAGAGGAAAGAGTGGAATAAAAACAACTGCAGATGGCTTTAATCAGGTTCCGCTGCTTAAATGGTAATTTATTCAAGCCTGGGGCAAAGAGTAGTTTGCACAAAGCGAATTTTCGATCTCTCTTTTTGTCCTCTGTGGACTCCAGTCAAACGGTGCCACAAATGATGTTCTGACGACTGTTAGACTATACAATCAGCTCACAGTTTGCATGTGCACAATACAGTGCACACAAAGATGTGGCATGGCAAGTGAACGACCACTAATGGTAGAGGACACTAAATTACAGAGAACAAGACACATCATTAAACAATCTTTCATCGGCAGGTCTTGGGGTGGGGGGGGGGGGCATGACAATATTCTAGATGCTTACTTCATATCGCCAACGTTACTGCGGAGCTTTTAGCATGAGCCCAGCTGTAAGACGGCGGTTAGATAAAGTACGAGGGCATTGATTTTGCATCAAAGCCAAAGGTCAACGTCTCCTTTCTCCTGTTTTCTGTCACTTAACCTTTATTCTTCTGTCTGTCATAAACAAATGTCAAAAACTCTGTAAAACTTTTGGAGTTTTGAACAGGCGGCAAACTGCGGTTCTGAAAAGTGCAGGGTATGGTTTAGGGCGTGGCTACCTTGTGATTCAGTTGGAATGCAGACGTCCGTGTTTTCGTATTAGAACTTGAACCTTTTCACAGTGTGTTTTAGTTCATAAAAGTTTATTAACATTCTGGTCACATAAAAAATGTCTCATTCGGTGTTCGGTTGTAGTTAGCTCCACCTTCTCATGTCAATCTGGTTCCAAATAACCCAGATGGCAACAGCCAAGAACTAAGCTGGTGACAGCCAAAATGCCGTTGTCCACAAACCATCCGATAATGTCACCTTGACTACATCCATTTCGTCAAACAACGCCCCTTGGCTGTGATATAATCACAACATAACACGGCCTCTTGTGACCTACTGCTCATATATATTTCTGACAACGGAGCTACTTTGCAGTTGTGTACTTTGTGGCTTCTGAAATGTCCAACCATCAGCAAATATTATCTGAATATTCTTTGGAGCTGCACAAAAGAGATAACTATTTCAACATAAAACTATTGCGTCAATTTTCTGGAGAGGACAATATCTCCAGAACAATTGTATTCATACACAGTGAATACAAATTCTCAAAGAAATACATAAAATATATTCTATAAGCCCACAAGTTTCAACAAAATACCTGAAAATGTCATTTTTTACTTTTTAAAAGAAAAGAAATCCATCACATAGTATTTGCATACTTGTTGGTAGTCTCTCAACCTTTTCCGCTGCATCCATTGTTTGTTTTGCTGCTGTCCTCTTCTCTCCAGTTCCCAATGCCAAAGTAGCATTGACCTTGTTGTGAAACACTCTTGCTCTTTTGTGTGTGAGTGCACCATCTTTTTTAATGTCACTGTGGTGTCCAAATGTGCTCTCCACCAGAACAGAAAACTGAGAGAGGATGACAAGCCTTGATCCAGAGCTGATTGCAGGACATACTTTAAACTGGCATTTGTGTGGAGCTTGCAGGTATCAGGGGAGAGGGGATTTTAATAAAATAATGTCTACAGAGGAGATGAAAGCAGCAGTTTCATAGCACCTACAGCTGACAAACCTATCCACAACAACTTCGAACTGCTACAATAACGGAGCTATTGGTTTTAAGACGTCTGTGTATTGTGTTGCATAAATATCTACTGAACATACTCAGTACTGCTTGTGTGTTAGGTCTGATTTATACCTCTGTGGCTGTTTGCCTATGCGTTCTGTGTGGGCACATCTCCTGTGTGCCAGGCATACATACACTGCAGCGGATGGCGGATGTAATTTATTTTCATTTGGACCATCCTTTTACAGATCCTTTGTCAGGCGGTCATTGATTAATTTGACAAGCGTGATTCAATATTTTAATGTAAGTTTGGCTCAACAAAATTGATGGAAAAGTCGGATGATGAGGAGGAGCTCCCGTGCCTAGAATTAATAAGGAGGGAGAATACAGCCTGCTTGTGCAGCAAATGAGGGCAATGGATGAGGAGATGACCTTCAGGTATTTCAGGATACCCATCAGCCGGTTTGAGGATTTGGTGCATCACTCGCATCCATTTCTGAATCAACAAGCCATCAACAGTGCTCCAGTGGGGGTTTTCTTAAAAGGTTTGTTGTCACACTCAGTGTACTCGCCTCAGGTGCTTCCCAACCATGCGTTGCAGCTAGCTAAAGACTTGGGTCCATGTGTCGTGTCCTGAATCTTCTCTGAAGTCTGTCATGCATTGTGGTTGGCCCTGGAGAAGGATTTCATCTGTCCCCCAACATCATCAAAGTGGGGTGACATTGCCCAAGACTTCTAAAAGATTTAGAACTGTGTTGTGTCAGAAGCGTAGATGGAAAGCATGTAGCTATAAAACCTCTTTCAAGATCTGGCTATAAGACTGTAAGAGCAACTATTATTGATCCAGGTCGTCCAATGCTAAGGCTTCAAGGGTTGCCATAGGCATTCACATTGATCTCCGCACTTTCTTCCAGTCCCCACAAGAGAGTGTGCCGTGGCAGGAGCAGAACGTCAGAAGAGGAAAACTCAACTGAAACAGACTGCCTCAACACGGGTAACAGTCCAAGTTTTTGTACTTTTCTAGCTTTTAGCTTTTTCTCTCTCTCTAGCTACAAGAACTTTCAACAGATTATTTTAAACGCGTCTTGTTATAAATAACAAAAGATATCACATGATTTGCCATCCAAGAGTCAAAATGATACATTTGTCAACCAGATTCATTTATCAACTATTTCATCATGTGCGTCAGCAATTGAATTACAGTGTTACATATTTTAAATACATTTTGAATCAGAATGGTGTAGTTTAAGAAAAATGAACATTCTGAACAGCATCTATTTTTACAGGTCTGAAACTTCTAGATTTAACAAAATGTGTCTGCAACTGATGGACAATTGGTAATAATAATGAATTAGTTTGTATATAACTTGTATAACATGCATGTATATTCAAACTACACAAACCGTGAGCATGTACGTGTATCAATCTGAAAGAGGATGGATTTTAAATTTGGCCACAGATTTTTCCTGTCTGGGAAACTTGTTCAAGGTGTCAGCGACAATCTGCTCCTATCTACCTTGTGTCCTCATCGTCATCACCAAGCTGAGCAGCTCTCTAGCAATGTCATCAAGACGAAGAAGTATTTCACTCGTTTCCATCTTCTGGATGGTGGTAACAGAGAGGCCCTGATGCTTGAAGAGGCAGATGATGGAGCAGGTGCACATGGGTGTTATGTTAGCCCGATGGAGGGGGTGTAATGTTTGTCTGCTCTTTATCCAATGTGTTGGTGAGGTAATCTTTGCAGAGAATTGCTAGGCAACTGGAATGATTTCTCCAGCTAACTCCGTGGGAGAGATCCTCTCCGTCAAGCTGAAATGACATTGCGACATAGAGTTAAGAAAGATAGTATTTTTCTGCATCATATTAAAGTTACTGTGAGGAACTTTTAACAGGTTATGAAATAGTCTCAATTTAATAATCATGCCTCCATATGACTTACATAAGTCAACAAGACCTTCATCGAGAAGATTGGCTATTTCTAGTTATACTCAATGCTTGTCATTGGTGCCACCGGGTCAGATTCCGTGCAAAATCAGATGAAATCATGCAGGTTCACCATAAAGTCCTTCAGGTCAGACTCCAGCGGGTCACCAGCCCGCTGCGCACAGATCCAGATCCGCTTTGCTGCCGCCTTCAACCTGCAGTCAGAAGGACTGACCAGCACAGACAGTCAGTCTGCTTTCTGAAGGGACTCTGGTGCTGGTAACACCATTTTGACCACAAAGTTCCGTTTAGTAGCTTTAGAATGTTGTAACCCCCTTGACTGCTATAACCTTGTGTTAACAAATTTTTTGAAATGTATTTTTGTCAGTGTTCTCCACAAAACTTATTCAATAACGTTGAATTCACACAATTTGAAAATTGAGCAGATGCCATTATATTTCCCCTCTCTGAAAGGATACAGTAAAAACTCCCCTCACTGTATCACAGTGACAGGAAAAAGAGAGGCTGGAAATACATCTACTATAACTGAGGGTTATTTAAGAGCGCGGTATTCCTCCAAAGAGCTTTGCCATGCATCTCTGGTGCATGTCATGGACAAAATTTGCTGGAGTTTTGCACAACTTGTAGACTTCTTTTTTTTCATTTTTACAAATTTGTCTATCAGAAGCCTACATTTTTGGTTACACCCTCCGACATCACTCTCCAGCTCTTCAACAATATCTTTCTAGGAATTGTGACTAACATTAATAGTTTAATGCGTCATTAGAAGACGCATCAGTGGTGTCCATATCTTCTGACTTGTTCGGCAAGCCTTTCTTCAAACTGGTCCAATGTGCTTCTTGTTGTTGTGCCAGATGTGACGTACGCGTCCGGATATCCCACCTCCCGAATCAACTTCCCAAATCCTGTGGTGTCCGTGGTGCCTGCCTCATAGTCACATTTGTCCGGCTCTCTACGGGCTCTGCGAAGTGTGAATTAGGCATAAGTTATGCATTCATTTACGTGTCTCCAGGACCACATTTTACCAAGATGACAGATAAGGTGACAACAATATGAGCGTTGCTGTTACTGCTGGTAAAATGTACGAAGCAGCTCGGAAAGTGCTCACACATTTTTAGTTTGTAACGGCTAAGTCCAGCTTGAGGTTGCCACTAGTTTTGGTCCTTCAATGACTTTTCTCAGTTTCTTCCATTTTGTTGCCTCCTCCTTCTTTTCCTCTTCCTGTCCTTCCTTAAATCCATCCCACTGTTTCAGCCTGACTCTCTGCTCTGTCATGCTGCTTGTGTGTTTTGTGGGATGGCTCTGTATTCAGGTCTGTGAGATCAGGTCAGCTTGTTTTCCGTGCACAGACAAAGCTTGAATGTCAGAAAATGTCAAAACACCTGACTGAAGGGATTTCAAAATAAATCCTCTGACACATTTCTCACAATGTATGCAAAACAGAGTGTATTACTGACCTTTCAGACACCTAAACAGAGTTATTGTTTTTTCTTTCTAAAAGAACACAACGCATTCTTGTACTGACGTGACATCTTTAAATGATCTGCCAGAGTGACATCCTGACCATCACTGGTGATCTGAGTCACTGCAATGATCTTAAAAATGTTTGATAATCATGACTCAACAACTGCACAGTTACTGGAAAAACACTGTGAGATCAGATCATGCATTTATTTCAAGTGCCAGGCCACCAATTGACAACGAAAACAGCTGAATGTCGGCTTGGTTGTTCGGGACTCTTATCATGTGGGCTGTGTGTGAGACCAGAGACTCCTAATGATCTATCTAAAGTCTAAAGTCAGTGATGTGTCAAGAGTCAGCAGGATGATGTAAGTCACACTGTTAGTGTGCAATATGCCCTCTTTGCCGAATTGTGTAAAGTGGGAAAATACACAAGGCAGTAGGTGTTTAATTAAAACAGCTTTACATCATCTGGTTTTCTCAGAATTCCCAGAGCCAGTGCACTCCTTGCACTAATCAGCATCATCGTCCACTGATGGTGCTCATCACCAATGTTTTCTGATGAAACACAAACACACCAGCTGCATTTGGTCCACATTGGAACAGCTGCCAGAATTAGATGTGGCTGCAATTTTGAAAAGCCAAGACTATTTATACCAAAGTTAAATTCTTTGTATAAAATACAAGTTAGCTCATGAGTTAGCAAGTCAATGGAACTAGTTGTCCTGCTAACAGTTCTACAGACGTCTCTATTAAAACGCGGTTCTTAAGGGGAAATGTCTTTTGGGCTGCAGGGTATTTTTGTCGTGTCACAGAACCTGCAGCAAGGCTTACTATCTTCATTTTGCAATGTAACTTTTACATTTGCTGGTTATATAACAAGCATATTTAGCTTATTTTTACTTTTCCTAAATCTACCTTTTGTAAATGTTGGACGTTTATTTTGAAAAGAGACTGTGTGAATGTAACGAGCAGAAAACTGTACGTTTCCTGTAAACACAGACGTTTATTTTTATAATACACTTTGCATGCAACTAGCGGAAACTGTTCTCGGCTCTTCTTTCCATAAAGAAATATTCTTGTTCTGATATAGCTGATGCTATTTCAAGATCTATGCTAACCTCTTCTGGAACTGCCATTGTTGTTTTGAACAGTTTCCTCTCTGTGTCCTCTTACGCGCACAGAAGTCACATTAAAAAGACAAGTGTAACCACGGCCTATGATGGGAATTTGTCCCTATTTTCTGATATTTTACAGACTTAACGATTTGGTTCATTGAAAAAAATAAAAATCTACAGATTAATCAAAAATAATTGTTTGTTGCAGCCATCCTCTGAGAATACAGAGGCAGAGTAATACTAAAAAAAGATTTTGGTAGGAGTATAACGTCAAACCATTACGTTTCAGGCTCCATTTTCATCCATTGACCACTGGGGCAGAAATTGACATATTGGATGTGACTGAGCGTTAAAACAAGTGCCCTCCTCTGATTGTGTTTATGCACATGACCATGTTATCCAAAAAACAACAACCCAAGGAGCTGAATAACTATCGAGGTAAATTAAAAGAAAACACGGTAGAAGATTGGTGATGAAATTGAGGGCATGGCGGGGACACAAAACACACACACGATGGATGACCTTTTCTAGAAGACCTGCCTAGGTGCACCTGCTCAGTAATTGGAGACAGTCACAGGGGGGAGTCTGTGTGTGTCTCTGTGTGTGTGTGTGTCCTGCAGTGACGACAGAGCACATTGAATTTCACTGACATTCATATATTGGAGGTACTGGTGAGAGCTGACCTTTTGAACGTGTGTTTGTGTCTCCTGCAGTAACAACAGGGAACATTACATACATTTCCCTTTATTCTATACATCTAAATTGTGTACGTAGGTGTACATTTGTATTTGTATTATTTTTATACCTCACTTCCCCTGACCGAATTCTAAAACACAGACAATCAACGTATCCGTGGTTTGGAGAAATGTCATAGTGACTGTGCTAATATTTCTTCGTCTTGAAGACTTGAATTTAATTAAACGGAATTCAACATCTACATCTGTGCACAATAGGAGTCTAAAGTCCTCGGGGTAACACTGTGATAGAAAAACAGACCCTATTTTTCTCTTCACTTTCATCATTTCATTGATTGCGTTCTCTGAGCTGTCAATGACCTCATTTACTATTAACTGGGGTGTCTTCATTGACATCGTGCAGCAGGAAACAACAACAATTTGTAACAGTGGACATAAACCCTTAGAGAAAATTGTTTTAAGTGAAAATGTGTAATGCTTGAAAGTGCAGTCTGCGGTGAAACCTTTTAATGATTATCATGTTGTGTAATAACTGCTTGCAATGTTTACAAAATGGCTTTTATAATAACTAAGCATCAGCTCTGGGACTCTCCACTTCATTCATCTATCTTGTCTTCCTCTTTTATTCTCCCTCTCTCTCTCTCTCTCTCTCGTTCTGTCAGTCCCTGCCTTTATCTTTCAAAGGATTATTAAGAGAGAGCTATACAGAGAGTGTGTCACGAGAATTCTGTGCAATGATTTATTTGCATAATTTCTTTCAATAGCCAGGCTTTTGTCTGGTCTTCTTGATCACAGCATCTTTTGATGTGATGTTCAAGAGCGACTCATAATATCCACTTACTCCATACAGGCCTCTTTTGCCTGACTGAGAGAAACACACATTAAGTCAATGTTTTCAACTGGCACATTATCATACAGGCTTCATTGTTATGACTTGTCTTACTTAAGGTTTCCTGCAAGATAATTTATTTTCATATTCTGATCACAGACACACTCAATACAGATCGTGAGATTGAAGAGCAGGCCAAGGCATGGACGTTGTAATATATATTATTTGGGATGCTAGGAAGTGTAAAGCCTCATTTCATCCTCGTTCAATGTTGTTAGATCAGACAAGCTCAACAAAAACAAAAATGGCGAGACCTGTTACGTTTAGCCAGGTACTGCAAGGAGTATTCGATAGTTTGTGGACGCCAAGCGACATAGCTTCAAGAAGCCGACAGCAATGAGCTCCAGCTGGAGGTGGAGCAAAACTTTGCCTCGCTGCTCTGCCGGTCTTCACTGGGAGCCAACACTGACACCACACTGGTGGAGACCCAGGCTTTATTGTTGGGCCTGCTGGAGGGCAGGGAGGCACTCAGGACCAGAACCAGGACTGAGCGGGGAGGACTGTCGGACACTGCTGGAGTAAATTGAGAGGTTTTCTGATCTGGTGTTTGGAAACACAGAGACTGACAAAATCAACACAAACATAAAGTTCCTTGTAGTAACTGTGACTATGATGCAATGTAATGTGTATGTGAGCTTAATGGTTGCAAAACAACAGCTGCCCCAGCTTTTCCTACAACAATTTATCCAGTGCTGTGAGTAATTAAGGAGTGCATCTAGAGTTAGAAAGGGTTTCTTCAATTCCTGTGATATCCGGTTTATCCCAAGACGAGGATTGTAACCAATTAGATGTAGAGATACAATGGCGACTGGGTCCGCCCACTTACTGTCGAAAAGAATAACTACTCGCGAGCGAGCAGGAAAAAGATTCGCGAGCGAGCAGGTTAAAGTTTCGCGAGCGATTTTTGCTCGTGCGAGAGTGAATTCTGCTCGCATGCGAGAGCGCGCATGGATCTCATTTGCGCTCTCGGATTTTGACAGTGATTTGCCTTCATACTGAATCAAGGATGTCACAGTTTGATACCATCTAGGTACATATGCTCCCGAGCAGTCAAATCTTTATGAACAATTTAGCTCTTCGGACTTTTAAAGTGGGAAACAGGTACAAAATTCATGTTTTAAATTTGTTCTGTTTGCAAAAGGTTATATATTTTTTTAAACTAGGACATGTGGGTGACAATCAAGTCCTAACTGACTAGGTCCTCTTGGTTGTCAGTAACTAGTTACATGCAGAATATTGATGTAAATGTATGTTCTGGAAATGTTTGTCTATCTATGTTTACTAGCCTCTGTAATTATCTCTACAACTGTATCAGTTATAAAATTCAGTTTATTATTCTCAGCCTCATTTACTCATCACGCTACCTCTTTTCATCTTTTCTGTCTGCCCGTCTCTGTCAAGAGTTCAAGTACCTTAAGAGACCCTCTTGTGTGTAGGGCCTCTAAGCCTTCATTATTTGAATATCAAGGGGGCTTATGAAGCTCTTTAAAAACAGCAACACAACAACCATTGATGAATGTTAGCGCAAGTGTGTTTTGTGTCCACAGCATGCACATATACTTGAAAATGTCCCTCTTTTGTTTATTTTTGAGTGTTTGTGCTTCTGCCCAACAAATGCTTGTTATGTGAGTTCTGAGCTTGATCCACATCATTGACCTAATGCACTGTACATGTGCAGATGCATGCACACAGTGAACTGGGAATTATTTAAACTGTTTATGTGATGTTTATGTTGCTGCCCATGTTGTGAAAAACATAAACAGCATGTGAT